AGAGTGTGGGGACTGGTTGGTGGTTGTATTGGGGGGGGGGGGGGGGGTCAATTGGCTGTAAGACAAATTTCCCAAGTGTTGGTCTCTCATTGGCTGCCGCCCATCCAATCCGGTGGTTGTGTTTCGTCACACGGTGCAGTTTGCTACCGCAGTCCCCATCGGTTGGAGCTGCATTTTTTTGGCTCCCGCGCTCTTTCAGCAACACTAATCCGGAGCGATTTACATACTGGCTGTTTGGACCGTTCCGTCGCCTTCGTTTCACGTACGGGGAGGTGGGGGGGGGGGTGTGTGGATTTGCCTCAACATGCACATCCCATTGTCTGCGAGCAGCTGCCCTCTCTGGATGCCAAGTTGGCGCGGTAGAAGTCATAAAGGATTCTCCCCGGTGTTTGCCATGGTGTCCCCATTGTATAAATTACCGCCGATGCTGGTTTGGTAATCGGTCTCATTAAAAGAAGGCTTGCAGATTTACATTTGCATGTGGACCGAAAAAGCCTGCGGACCTGTTTATCACGCAGAGACTGTATCCACATGCCCTGCCGCTACCCTCAACAAACGCTGATTCAAAATTCAGTATTCACATGTTCTGGCCTAAATGCTTAATGGTTGGATTTGAACCTGAGCTCCCGCTATCTAAATAATTTGGTGAGAGAGCCTCTGATTGCTCCGTTCCTGACAGTGATGTGATGTACTGACGATGGCCTATTTACTGTCATTAATCTCCTTTTTGTCACCTTCATTTCTCACAGGACACAACCACCATTGAGAAAATGTCCCACTTCCTGGACCAAATGTGAGTACCATTGGTGAACAGATAGATCTGCTGAATCCTGAGCCTTTGGATATTCTATGGGCCAATAATTTGACCTTGACTGACATCCCTTGCTTGTATTCGCTTGCTGTGAATTATAAGCCTGAATTTCCCCTTTCAAAGCCTTCAGCTGCCGCCTCTCTTGTATTCTTTTGCCAGAAATAGATAGATGCGTTAAGCACTTAAATCACAGTAGAACTCAATTCATCATTAACCACGTGTACATTTTGGCTGGGTGGACAAGCGTTTCCTGGTTATCGTATCTTCTGGCAAGCGTAACCCGTGGAACAAGACCTGAAAAATCAGGAACTATCAATCCTATGGGTTTTTGTATGTCACACCCACCTAAAAACGATACAGTGTGTGAGCTGGGTCTCTGTGAGTTTTTTTTTTTTTTTTTTTTTCTGCCTGGAATCAGATAAGCCTTGATTCTTGAGGAGCTCAAAAGAGCATCTTGTTCCCAGAGGTCTGATGCTCAGATATGGGGAGGAGCGGCTGTACGGAACCTCCTCCATGCAGCTCCTCGCACGGCTGATGTGCGTGTGTGGTGGGGGGACTGTATCTGACAGCCTGCATGAACCGATCTCACGCTGCCTTCTGTGAAGCGGCCACTTGGCCACTGTGCGTCAGCGCGTGGACAGTGGGGAGAGACTCTCGCATGTCTGCTGAAAGTGGGACTGTGACTGTCTCGGTCTCTCTGGGCCCGCTGGGCCATGCGCTGTGTCTGGTGGCATCCCGGTCATGCACACCTTAGTGGTCTCCCGGGGGGGGGGGGGGTTGGGGTGTGTAATTTAATGCCACGGAGAGTATGAGAATCTCGGGGTGGAGGGTGTGAATGTGCACCGATTGTGCGGGCTCCGCAGCTCCTGACCATTACCCCCCCACCTCCCCTCCCCCCCCTCCAGGAAGACGCCCAGGAGACCGTGGCAGCAGACATTCGCCGAGGTGTTTGGCACCCGCTGGAAGATCCTGTGGCTTCTGCCCTTTCGGAGAAGACGGCCTCTGCAGGCCAGCCACCACTACCCCAGCCACGTGTAGACAGATGGAGGGGCCAGCTATTCCCCACCACCCCCCCGCCCTCCAGCAACCCCCCCTGCTGGCTGCCATCTTGCCTGCTTCTCTGCAGGATCGGGCAACTCTCCGTCGCCATTGCTCCACGCTGCTCATGTTTCTTTATTTATACCCAAGATAAAAATGGCTGCCTCTGTCTGCCTCTGTGCGGGACAGCAGCTCCAGAGGGGCCTTGCTGACTGTGCGTTTGGGCGTTCTCACCCAGCCAGAAGGAACGTGTCTAAGCTCAGTCTCTCTTCTTTTTTTATGCTCTTTTATGTTTATACCATATTGTACCTCCCCACTGTTTTCCGGTATTTTCCTTTGCACCGATTCCGTCCTGAGGAGCTTAGGGCTTGTGTGGGTACGCATGTCACCTGCTTTTTCTAATCGGTTATAAACCGCGGCGGCGGCCCTGGGTTGTATCATTAATGTGCAGTTGGGGCCGCATGGGTTGGCCTTAGCGTTACCTACACCCAAAAATAGGATTACACTCCTGTTTATGCATAGATAAGCATCACACTAAGCCGTTTTCCCAGCGGTTGGACAGGGTATGGATTTTTTTGTTGCCGATTTTCACTGATCGACGTAAACAGTTTGTCCCTTATCTTCTTGAGTCATATTGCAAAATACACTTTGTCATCTTCACCTTTTATCTCAGTCACATTCTTATTCAGGAAAAGATTTTAATTTTATTTCTCTTTTTAAATGTTTACACTCCACTCTACCAGATAACACGTGAATGTTAGGATAGAGAATTCCCGAGCTTGGACTCTGGCTGTTATCTGATGGAGGTTTCAGGGAAGGTTGGATGGTACTGTATGCAGGGGTATGTTTTGATCCTTGAGAGTGTGTGTGTGTGTGTGTGTGTGTGTGCGCGCACATCCTTGCGTGCACAATTAGCCACTGACATGCACACGAGCATGATGATACATTTTTCCTCCTCATTCGCAATGACCCTTAATTTGAATGTTAATGTTTGTTTTCTTGACGTCTCTGCATACGGGTGAATCGGCATTTTGCTGTTAAGAGACGGTAGAGAGGTGTGGATCTGAGTTCTCCAAGAGGAGCTGAGTGGCGATTATGGTGTCGACAAGAGAAAAGCAGGACTAAGCATATTGAGACGGATGGGCATTAACTCCTTTATTGACATTGTATGTTGAATATAATCACTCAATAGTCTGAAGTGCCTCTAGAACTTTCTTTAACTTATTGTTTGTTTTGGTGGTGCATGTCAACCCATTGATCACTAGACCAAAGACTGTAATATCTGTATTTGATGCGTGCAGTTAACTGGTAGAACTAATAGTGGTGTAGTAACATTTCGGCTGCAGTGTTTACTGCCTTTCCTGACACAATAACCTTCAAATCACCATAACATCTTACCTAAACATCATACCTATGTTCTTTTGTTGCTATAGCAAAATTTATTGATATACTTTTATCTTCGATTTAGTTTCTTTTTCCCATTTTCTTTTTATCCTTAAGAATGTTAGGGTAAACATATAACCGGTACACTACATTTCATATTCCTGCTTTCCATATTTAAATCCTAACGCTGTGTCTTAATGGAGTAAATATTGCATCAGTTTAGGTCTAAACTCCCACTCAGATGTATGTAGTCAGATGTAGCCACTTCTAGCCCTACTTGCAGAGAATCGGTAAAATAGTACCTTGTTCTCCACTGCCGTACACACAGAGAAACGAACCCAATATTCCAGACTTGTGAGTCTAGAGTGATACATGGAAGTTACTAACATATGAGGTGTATTTCAAAAATGGTTTTTGTGCCGTTATTTTAAAAATATTATTGGTTTGCACTGTACCAGTTTAAGTGTCTTTGTAAGTATGGAATACTGAAGAATGCGCAACTCTAAACTTGTATAAAATTCCTTAGAGAGATGTAAAGTTGCTCTATGTGGTCTTATGTGTATCCTTGCTACCAAGTGTGTAATTTGGTGACTTTCATTTTTACAACATATATTTCTAAATGCATTGAAAAATGCATCCTGTAGGTTGTATGTGAAACGTCACCATGAAACATTGTAATGTTTGTTCCGGATATGTTTGCTTGCCGTTCCTGATTATTTTAAAATGCTTTTTAAGATTGCTGGACCTGAATTATATGTAGGGCGTACCTCCTGTGATTCACGCATATCTAAACACTGCTACTTTTGCCAGGTATGACTGTGGTGGAGGAGTACGATCCAACGAAACCAGAAGACTGGTTTCGTTGGATCGCAATGATCTTTTCAATGACGGCCACCCATCAGCCTCACCGTTACCCGTGTGATCTTAAAATGCTCATGTCAAAGATTTCAAGCGCTGTCGCTTCAATGTGTGAATACATTGTTTGAATGCTAAGTGTCGTACAGACAAAATTTAGTAATTGTAATATCACCACAGACTTCAATTATTATAGACACCTATAGCAAATAGTTTTTTTTTTTATATATATACAAAGGGTAAGACTGTAAGAAGGGGATCGGATATATATAAATAAATATAAAATAATTAGTTGAAAAGCAATAATGTTTTGCTTCCTCGTTAGAAACACCAGAACTGCCTTCCCCAATGCCTAGAATCCAACAGGCTAAGACGCCATTACGGCTCTAATACAGGCCCCTCATCTCTGTGTCACGCAGCCACAAATCTGAACTCTGACTCTTGGCTGAGAGCTGCATCATGAACTGCTGTCATAAGGAAAACCAAGTGGTGAAGGACACTTGTGGTCCCTGTGCTTCCTTTGCGGTCAGCAACAATAGGTAGAGAGCTGCAGAGAGCATTAAAGCAGGGATTGGCTGGAGCTGGCGTGCTTCTCGTTTGATTGGACAGGGTCACACTTAGGCCTGCCCAGAGGCCGTGACTTTGCTGTATTCTGAAAAACACTTATACGGGCTGCGTCTTACTATTACTTCCTCACATACCACAAACTGACTGTTCATTGCGCTCCACACACTGTATTAAATGTCTCTCGACAAATTCAGGTGTCATACTAAATGTCATTTTCAGTGAGTTTTCTTTTTACTTTTGATGTTTCAGGTTTTTGAATTTAATTTATTTATTTTTTGCTGGGGACTTAATTTTTTTTGTTGTTGTTGTTATGGGCACATATATTAAAAATGTAATTTATTATGTTTTTATATATCAAATAAATGGTTTGTTAGCACCGACTCATTGTATTTTCACTCCAAGCTTTTCGTTCTGGCAACAAAAAGTACGTGCCGTTCAAGTACACGGTAAAATTGGATGTAATCATTTTTAATTTCAGTCAAGAGGAAGTATCAACAACACACTGCTAACATTTACTGTATAAGCAGCAGGTACGTATGCAATAGCATCCTAACATGCTTTAACAACTTGAATATAAACTTCTATAATCGTATAATCATATAATGTTTGTTATTAATATATATTAATGCTATTCAGGTATGTTAGGATGTTATGGTATACATACATGTTGCTTATGTTCTATGAATGCATTATGAAGGTACAGTTAATGTAAAGCATTATCAAACAATTTGGCAATTTTGGAAACATTTTGACTACATCGTTTCACCTCAACCTGCTCGCGTCTGCCGTCTGCTTTGTATCCGCTGGTTCATTCCCAACCACTGTCTGGATTCCATTTGATTCTATAACTTTCCTTCTTATTTGAAATATCCGCCATTTCCTCAGTCCTGTTTGTAGGCTTGTGAGGAAGTTGTCCGGATTTCCAGGCCTATGGACTCAGGTCCGCTTGCTCCCACTTAAAATGTCACTTGACCATTGAGGTCACCTGTTTTGTGAGTGAAATATGGTTCCATGCTATTTTAAGGAAAGGGAGGTCTCTCTTTATGTGCAAGGGGATCAAATTTCTTCCCTAGCACCATATACTACTCGTTGTCACCCCATGAGCACCTTCCCTCACAAAAAATCAGTGGATACTTCTAATGGATTTGATCCGCTACACTCCCATTCACATCTGGTGGTCTGATTTATGGTACATTCTGTTTGATCTTGGAAGTCGGAAATTCCGAGTTCGTATGTACAAAATACAGCATAATGCATTGTTATGAACTTGCTAACAATGGCTAATAATGAACCTGGCGAGACCTGGGACCTGTTTCACAAAGCAAGATATCTCACTTAGCTGGAAAACTTGTTTGATTATTCTGGGCTAAATGTAAGTGAACGAAGATGGCCGTTTAAACTGGGGTAACTTAAATCCGACAAGTTACCCGGCTAAGCAAGAAATCCTGCTGTTTGAAACAGATCCCTGGTATTACTAAATAGCTTTCCGACTCATTGTACTGGAAGGTGATTAATTCCTGTGTGACGTCATTCCCAGCTGCCAATTCCAGTCTCCTGCCATGCTCAGAATTGTGGGACTGCATATGTTAGTAGCATACCTATATGTGTGTTCCCTGGCCAAGCCGATATAACGGTTTACCATTTAGTTTTCATTTATTTGCTCTTTTTTGGCCAGTGGATTAGTAAACTGGAAATGACTGTCCAGAAGATAAGAGTACGTGGCAATTAGCATGACAGAACATGCAATTTTACACAACAAGAGACAATCCCAGGGCGATGGTTAATAGCACATTGCTAGATTTGACCCCCTAGGAACATTTACTTTTGGGAGTATCGTGCCTTTGTGAGGCAAAGTATCTTCTTGGTAACATGGGGCTTGTCAGCGTGGGGAATAAGGTCGATGTCCTGTGGGTAGCCTGTTTATGCATGTTCAGAGTAAATGCTGCCTGGCCTTAGAGCCTAGATCAAGGTTCCTCAAATCTGGACCTCAATTCATAATCCAGTTCTTGTTTTCAGTTCTGCCAGGTAGATAGTTCAATAATTATTGATTCTGATTGGGCACAGAGGCCTCACACCCGACTCTCAGTAAACCAGCAGGGCTCGGACCTCAAGCACCGTGATTTGAATGGCTCAAGCCCAGATGTATGTCCTGTGTACTGAGGTGTGGTGTTCTGTATGCACTGCCGATGGGGGATAATCCTTCACGTTTGCTGGGATGGCGAGGTCACCGTGTGCCTTGCGTCTTGCCAGGTGGGATTTCACGCAAAGGCTAACGGCGCAATGCAAAATGTCTATTTGAACACATTCAGGAGACATGCATGATAGAATTCACATTACGGTAATACTCTCTGGAGTATTGTCGCCCCGTCCTTGACATGGATCATTTCAATTTTCATATTTTGCATTTGGATGCTATCCATATTGTTTTGTTTACTTAATGGCATCAGATACTTCGTGTCCACATGGAACGCCATTCTCTGAAGATGCTGCAAAGTGTAGTAACAGCGTGGTTGAAGCACCAGACCGAATATAAGACTCGAGTTTAGTTCACGTGAGAGGCACAAGTCCAGTTCAGCCGCATTGCACCATTTTGCTCTGATTTTCATGGTAAAAACGCAGCTGTGTAAACAGATTGGAGAGATTGCATGCTGTGAATGCTGGACAAGGGTGTTTGTTAAACGATTAAGAAAAAATGTTAACCTAATGGAAGTCGTAGTGATACGCTATTAAAAATCATAATTTGTAGCTGTTAATAGTAAACCAGAGGGTGGTATTACTTGAAACCTCTGATATATATGATAGTGCTGACCCTGTCATTGCCCCGCTTCCACCTTCCTTAGTAGTGACCACCTTTATGGGGGGGGGGGCTGTAATCCCACTACCTGCTGCTGTGTCCCAGGTGGCCTGAATCCAGATTGCACTGTGCTGTCAGACATATGCACATTCACATTGTCTCCTGGCAGATACTCCCAGGGTGAAGAAATTATGTGGTCCTGCTGGGACCTAAAGAGAGTACTGGACCCCATGGACATCCAGCTGAGAAAACAGGATGGGGGGGGGGGGGTCAGGGGACGCACGCTCGCATACTTCCCGTTTCTCCGGAATCAAGTGAAAGCAGCTGCTGAGACTGCCCCGGTCGCTCCTCTCGACATCTTGGCTGGAGGTATAGCTTGGCATACATAATGCTGATTCAGGCTGAAAAATCCCTCTTGGTCCTCATGACGTACAACCTTACAATAACTCCAAACGTTCTGTGTGTTTAGTAACTGGTGATGCGTGGATTATGGTTGCTGTGACCTCAAATAATCAAATTTGAGGGTTTACAGCCGAATGTGCCCACGACATACCCCAGTCAGTTAATACGTCTGTATGACAGCTGATCGGGGTCATACAGAGAGATATGTATTAATTATCAAGACTGGAATTCTGGGAAAAACAATATTTAGGGTATGAAATTCTTGACCCCCCCCCCCCAAGCCCCAGAAAAGGTTTATCTTCAAGTAGCAAACAGAGGGATTCTACAGCTTATCTTTAGTTTGTCACCTGTCCTTTAGCTAATGTGACATTCTTGACAAACACATGGCCAATGAACCCTGCCATGCAGGCTGCTCTCCAGGTGAGCACGTGCTGGTCGATACCTGTCGGTCTATATACACTTTAAGATTTTATTGATGGTTTTTAAGGCTCTTAATGGGCAGGCCCCACCATACATAGCAGATCTTGTTCATCTTCAGCCAGCCTCTAGATCTTTGAGATCTAATGGTAACTCCCTCCTGCACATCCCCCGCTCTCTGCTTAAACAGAAGGGTGATAGAGCCTTTGCAATTGCTGCGCCTCGTTTATGGAATCAGTTACCACGTGATATTAAATTTGCTCCAACTACCTCTGCTTTTAAATCTAGGCTTAAAACTTATCTGTTCTCGATCGCCTTTCCAGACTTTTAAAGCTATTTATTTATGTCTTTTGTTGCTGTTTTGTTGCTTGTTTTTCATTGCTTTTTTATGATTCTTTTATGATCCTTGTACAGGACTTTGGTGTAGTGTTACAACTGCTGTAAATGTGCTATAGAAATAAACTTGACTTAACTTGACTCAGTGACAAAAAAAGTTAAGCACCCAGAAGTAATGGTCCGATTTGGATGTAATTTTGAGCACGTGCAGACCAGCAATGGGTATATAAATAATTCGATTTGCAAGGAGCTGGCATGTCTAGTCACCAGACACAGAGGATGCCTCGTAGACGCATTACACAGCATTACCAGCACTTGATGGAGTTTGATAGGGGTCACATTGTGGGTTTGCATGAGGCTGGGTGGTCGTATCGTGCAATTACCCGGCATGTGGGGCATGCAGATGTCACAGTCGCCCGATGTTGGAACCAATGGGCACATGAGGGCACCCACACATGTCGTGAAGGTTGTGGTCGCCCAAGACAGACCCCACCAAGGAAAGATCGTGGTATTGTGCGGCAAGCATTACAGAACCCCGTGACATCTGCACCTGCCATCAGACACAGGTATTAGACTCTCTACAACACCCCATGTCATTCCACACCGTGTCTCGACGACTGGCATCAGCCGGACTACGGATTCACCGTCCCATGCTTAGGCTGTTAACACCAGCACAGACGGCACACCCTACTAACCCCATCAAACTGTTGCCAGTTTGATCTGATATTATAATCATTGCAATACAGTCACATGACCTTTCACCACGTGCAGATTCATTTAATTTCCACCACTCCGTCTGGGTGCTTGACATTTCGTCACTGAGTGTATAAGACATTCCAGCACAATGGATACATATGGAACTGTAGACGCACTTCTGAGAAAAGAAAAACTCACAAACCACCGATTAAAAAATAAATCCCTTAGTACTTTGTGATAACAGTTTGAGCTGGCCATGAAATAGTTTAGCAGAGGGCCAGACGGATCAATGCCGAAGAAAGTTTGAGATTACGAGTCCGATTCTCACACAGGTAAGTCATCCACTTACCATGTTTTGTCAAAACTTTTGTCAGTATATTTAAGATAAAAATGCATTACATCACTGCATTACATCACTGTAAAGTTTCAGGGAACCGTTCAGGGATGATTCAAGAGATTTTTAGGGTGCTATAGCATTATAATAACAAACTCAATCGACTTATTATTTTAATCAGGTTGTGGCGAGTTTGAGCATATGAACTTTTTGTGTTTGTGTACGTACAGGTGAATATTGCGCTTTCATGGCGTTATCCCACCTGACAGGCCGCTTACGTGACGGGAGGGTTAGTGTACTTCTGATTTCGGCGAAATTTGGCTTGCTACCCGCATACGTTATAGAAGGTTTGAGTAAAGATGGGTTATTTATTGCCTTCAGGATCATATCACGCAGCTATA